CTGGGGCTGGCGCCCGTCGCGCGCGCGGGTGCGAGGTGCACCGCGGGGTGCCTCCCTCGATGCTCCTCAGGACGTCGACGTGCTGGTGCCAACCAAGACATGCTGGCGACGTGACAACATCACGACGTGCAATTGTTTGGCCGTTTTTGGCCTCCTAGGGCCCTCGGTCGGGACTTCGAGGGACCCCGTCCTGCAAAAAGCGCGACGTCGGACATCTGGGAAGGGCGTGCTTGTCCACCGACGCCCTTACAAAACGACGCAGGCGGTGTATAGTGAGGGCTGGGAGAGGCTCCGTGTTTCAGGCAAGGCCAGGGCCAGGACAAAGTCGGGCCAGGACAAAGTCAGGGATCTCTGAGATCTAGTTGGTTCTGGAGATGTCTCGGCGCCGCGGCCGTTCCAGGGGAAGACGGGACGCGCGGCGCTGCGGAGAGACACCGAGGATCCAACTCCAAAGAAGGCTTTGGGCAACACGTACGAGTGTGTATGCATGATCCAGGGCTCGCCCGCCCCCCCTCAACCCCACACCACCCTGACGCTGATGCCTTCGGCCACACCCCCACTCTCCCCGCGATGGGTCTCTCCCCCTTTTGGGGGTGGCCCCGTGGGAGTGGGGTGGTGGAGGGTGCCGATGTGGATGTGGGGTGGTGCTGCGGTGCCGTCGTCGTCGTCGTCGACGTCGTCGTCGTCGCCGTCGAACGCCGCCGCCGCCGACGCCGCCGCCGTCGTCTTCGTCGTCGTCATTGTCGTCGTCCTCGTCGTCGCCGTCGTTGTCTTCGTCGTCGCATTCGCTCCCCAATCGAATCTGGGGTGCCGCGCACACACATTCACACGCACACGCACACACACGCACACACACACGCACACACACTCACACACATACACACATACGCACACGCTCACGCACACGCACACGCACGCGCACACGCACGCGCACACACACGAACACGCACACGCACATGCACACGCTTTCTCCGTCGGCGGCGAGGCAGAAGCAGTCCGCTCCAGCGTGTGGCTACTCGGGGCAACTGAAAGGTGAATTGACCGGCGTGCATGAAGGAGGAAAGGGACTAGGGCGGCCGCGCGGGGGAAGAGAGTAGGGAAAACGCTCAGGCGTGGAAGAGTTCCGCGTAGAGCAGGCCGGTGCGACAAGCCGAAGCATGCACACGCACATGCGCACGCACAAACGCACACACGCACGCACGCACGAACGCATACACACACAAACACACACAAACACACACACAAACACACGCACACACACGCGCGCGCACGGGCACGTGCACGCGCGCGCGCGCACTCGCACGCGCACGCGCACGCAGACGCAGACGCAGACGCAGACGCACACACACACAAACACACAAACACACATACAAACACACACATACGCACACACATACGCACACGCACACGCAAACGCACACGCACACGCACGCGCACGCGCACACGCACACACGCACACGCACACGCACGACGCGCACGCGTACGCACACGCGCATGCGCACGCGCACGCACACGCACACGCACACACACATACACACACCCACACGCACACTTGCACACTTGCACGCGCACACTTATACACATTCACGCACACACACATACGCACACACATGTATACATATATATATATATATATATATATATATGTATGTGTATATATACATATATGTGTGTATGTAAATCCGCCAGCCCCCTGCCTGGGCCATCAAACTGTGGGGTTTAGGCTTGCTGCTCATTTCTCCCGTTCCAGCTTCCATTCTCCCATGTTATAGTCCTACCTTCTACCTGCAATGGTGAATTGTTACGGATTGCGCGAGGGGGGGACCCCAAAGCATCCCTGTTAATCGGCGGTGGACAAACCTCCCTTTAGCAAACCTCCCCTCAGTGAAAACGGCATAAGACTGAAACCGACGGACCTGGACCCACAAGAATGACTGCCGCGACGCCCTCTCGCGAACCGAAAACGGCCAATTCCTTAATCGACGTCTCAGGGTTAGAGGTCTGTCCAACCCCGAGTTATCCTTCCCTGGGTCGCGTACGATCCCTCATAGATGGCACTGCGTCCGTGCCCCTGTGGCCACGACCCTTTGTAAATTGTCCCATGCTCGCGTTCGCGAGGCCACCATCACTTGTCAGAGTGAGGGAGGCGAACGGTCATTCACCGTCTTTGCGTGTGTGGCTGAAGTGGGCTGCCGCGGTGTGGATTGTTGTTGTTGTTGTTGTTGTTGTTGTTGTTGTTGTTGTTGTTGTTGAAGTTGGTGTTGTTGTTGTTGCTGTTGTTGTTGTTGTTGTTGTTGTTGTTGAATTGATTCTCTCTGCTGAAGAATCAATATTTTTGAGCCCCCCTCTGGAGACCATTCTATTTGTTCAATTGAAGTGCTTCCCCCAGGACTCCAACCCTGTTTTTCTTTTAAAGAAAATCGCTCAGCTCAAACTGTGCCCCTGGCCGCCGATTTACAACAACAGCGGCTCCCGCCTGATACTTCCTCACAAAGTATTCCCAAATAGCGCTCTCGCGTGGGACTTCCTCACAAGTTGTATACGAATCGCGCTCTCGCGTGGGACTTTATTGCAATTCATTCAAACGATGTGCCCCCAGAGCTCAGGAATCACGCTCTCGCTCTTGCTTCTCCCACAATGTATTTGGGTATCGCTTGAGACTTCCTCGCGATTCATGCAGGACCCACGCTTCAACAACCCGCCTGCTCGACCTGGTCGCCCTGGCCCGCCTTCCCGACCTGCCCGCCATGGGTCTGCCCACCCGATCTGCCCATCTGGTCCTACCATTTGTTTTCTGCTCCTTGCCCCCCTCCTGCTAATCCACCGGCCACCTTGCGGGGCCACCAGGCTGCGAGAGTGAGGATTTCAGCTCTCTGTTCCAGTTGCAGTCTCCAGGTTCCAGTGTTGCAGTCCTGTTTTCTGCTTCCTTGCTGTTGATTGTTGCTGAGCGCGCGAGGGGGCGGAGCCCCAAACCAGCTTTCTTTTTACCACGCCCAGATCGCGTTGTCTGAATTCCTGGGGGGCGTGGGACACGTAAAAATACATGAGATTCGCGTCCCCGAGGCCATAATCCATTGAAAATTACGCGAGGTTCGCGTCCCCGAGACCATAAATCCTTGTATAAATTATACCATAGTCGCGTCCCCCAAACCATAATCTTTTGTAGCTTACAGCGTTGTCGCGTCCCCACCCTCGTAAATTACGCAAGATTCGCGCCCCCGAGACAATAACCTACGCAGATAGTCGCGCCCCCGAAGCCAAAACGTTAGAAAATTATATCAGATTCGCGACCCCAGGGCCACCAACCTTTGTAAATAAGACCGTGCTTGCGTCCCCGAGGCCACAAACCATCGCAAGTGACATAATATTCGCGTCCCCGACGCCATCAACCCTCGTAAATTACGTAATACTTGCGTACCCGAGGCCATACACTATAGTATAGTATACAATGTTTGCATCCCCCAGGCCACAAACCTTCGCAAATTATACGGTAATCGTGTCCCCGGACCCATCAACCACGGTAAATTGTTCGCGCCACCGAAGCCATAAACCCTCGTAAATTAATGTTGACCCTCGCGTGAAGTCCCGACTTCACGTCAGCGTCCAGACATCCCAACACAGCTCTGGCAAGTCCCATTCTAAGAGAGGGGGGCCAGAGGCATGGGGGGGAAGCCCTTACGGATTTCGCTTGTGCTCCATTCTTCTCCCCCCCCCTGCTACCAGTCTTCTCTTCCCTTGTTTTAGGGGCTGCACTAAATGCGCGTGGCAGGTAAGGAAATATACCCCCAAGGGTAAATGCACGACGGGGGCGGGTACCGAGGATTTGGGATACGTGAGCAGATAGGATTAGGTCGGGCGTGTCCGCCTATAGGCGGATTCTGGATGAAAAATTCAAAATAGTACAAACATGCAGCAAAATAGTCAAACATTGTCAAACATCGTCCCCAGACTAGATCCCAATCATCCTGTGGTGTTGGGTCCTCGTTTTGAAGAGACAACGCCCCGCGTTCACTCCTCCCGCTGCCCCCTCCCTCCTCCTCTCATCATCATCATCATCATCATCATCATCATCATCATCAGCATCATCATCATCAGCATCATCATCATCATCATCATCATCAGCATCAGCATCAGCATCAGCATCAGCATCAGCATCAGCATCAGCATCAGCATCATCGTCATCGTCATCATCATCGTCATCATCATCATCATCATCATCATCATCATCATCATCATCATCATCATCATCATCATCATCATCATCGTCATCATCGTCATCATCGTCATCATCATCAGCATCAGCATCATCATCATCATCGTCATCGTCATCATCATCATCATCATCAACATCATCATCACCACCATCATCACCACCATCATCACCGTCATCATCATCATCATCATCATCATCATCATCATCATCATCAGCATCATCATCATCATCATTATCATCATCATCGTCGTCATCATCATCGTCTTCATCATCGGCATCATCGTCATCATCACCATCGTCGCCATCATCATCGCCGCTATCGTCACCATCATCGACACCAATTTCGGCACACCCCTCCAACTTTTAGTGGCCCCGTATCGAGCTCCGCCGAAGGCCCCAGTGGCAGCGCCCGCCTGCGGTTCCACCCTCACTTCGGCACACCCCTCACACGTTTCGTGGCCCCTTAGGGAGTTCCACCGAAGGGCCCAACGGCAGTGCCCGCATGCGGTTCCACCTCCATTTCGGCACACCCCTCACACGTTTCGTGGCCCCACATCGAGCTCCACCAAAGGCCCCAGCGGCAGCGCCCGCATGCGGTTCCACCCCCATTTCGGCACACCTCGCACACATTTCGTGGCCCCATAGGCAGCTCCACCGAAGGCCCCAACGGCAGCGCCCGCATGCGGTTCCACCCTCATTTCGGCACACCCCGCACACGTTTCGTGGCCCCACCGGGAGCTCCACCGAAGGCCCCAACGGCAGCGCCCGCATGCGGTTCCACCCTCAT